ATAAGAGGATCTGCGTGCAATATTACAGTTTACTCTTTTGGCAATATTTTCCACGTTAAGTACATTCTACAATGTTTTCCATTTGAAACACCTTTTTACCTGCCAAGGCATCAGTAGTTGGTTTATTCTATGATATATTAAGGGACATTTTCTCAGTAAGGTCTACTCTTGTCAAATACACGGCGTAGTAGTTATCTTCAGGATCAGATTATGGGATGAGGGATACTGTTATGATCCTATTGCAATGTACGGGACTTTAGTCCCACATAGGTTTAATGGGGAGCTGATGTGGGGCTTACATAGCTTTGGGCTCTCCCACCTCAATAGCTAGTTTTTGGGTATCAGAGGCACCCACTGCCCTACGTGCTCGGCGTGCCTTGGATGGTGACACCGGTATTACAGTGTTAGCCCAGGGCTAGAAATGGTCTAGCACATAGCCATCAAGGACGACGGCTGCTGAGCATGATGGTTTGTTATGATCCTATTATAAAGTATGGGACTTGAGTCCCACACCAGTTTAATGGGGAGCTGATGTGAGGCCTATATAGCCTTGGGTTCTTCCACCTCAATGGCTAGCTTTTGGAGTGTGGTTCTCCCTAAATTGTATCAGATATTCTAAGTCCCCACCTCCTCGTAGTGTTTACCACCTTCCGTTTTTTTTTTCCAGAGAGTATAGGGAGTAGCCCTAGTTAACAATTAATTTCCTTGCAGGCAGAGAAGGTCTTTAACCAAGATCTATACTTCAAGAGAACAGTCAAATTTGTTGGGGAGCCCATGTCACACCTGGAATCAATTGCATCCTCTGCGGTATTCTTTTGGACATAAATCTGTTTCTTGAAATGATAAGAGAGAATTCCGGAAATTTAATTGATTTCTTGTACATGAAATGTAATACAGAAATGACTATTTATCCACTTGTCGTTTAGGTCCGGGCAGCAATTAAGGTGAAAGCATCAGTAATTATTTGTTTCACTTCATCTGGAAGGGCAGCACGGTAATGTCTCTGTTCTTACAAAATTTCTTAGAATTTATACTATATCTTTATTATTAAGAGCTGTAAATGGTTACCTTTACATGCTCAGATTGATAGCCAAATATAGGCCAACAATGCCAGTATTGTCTGTTGTAATTCCTCGACTGAAGACGAATCAATTGAAGTGGAGCTTTACCGGCGCATTTGAGGTATACCCTTATTATTATCTGTTCAAGAATCAAATCCAGTTCATGATGTTCTGACCTTTTTAATGCATTTGATTGAGAAGGACTATTATGTTCCTCACAGAACATTGTTTATCCAATACTTCTTCACTTCCTTATTACTTATTATCGGTCAAATTTTATGATGGACTGATTTCTACTCAAACCCGACACAAAATCCTTAAGATAATAATAGAGAAGGTAATCCTATTAGTTTTGGTCTCAAGTAACGACTAAAGCCATGATAGTGTGTGAGAACTGGATTATAGTTATTCTTAATTTTGCAAATATCACAGTGACTCTTGTTACTCTTACTTTCATATGCATCCCGTTTCTTGCTGGTCAATTTGTTTGCTCAATTGTATTGCTATAGATTTTTTAACGTGTGATTTATCAGTCAGACTAACGAAGATCTTAGAGTTGCAATATCGAGTATCAGAGGCCCTCCATAATTTCCTTGGTCATTTATTTCCACTTCCATTGTTACTAGGAATCTAGGATGATCTCTTAGTGTGTCCTTTCACCTTCTTCCGTCTGCCTGCTTTTCTCATTGCTTCCGAACTATTTAGTAGGATTTCGGGCAATATTTGAGTTTAAGTTGTTCCTTATTCCTTTTATTTCATTGACATTGAAGCTGACAGGTTTAATTTTTTTTAACTTCTCCATGTTTAGGCAAGGCAGTCTCTTATTGTGAGGGGTCTTTTCCCAATGCTTGCTGATCCTCGACATCCTGTAAGTCTCATCGTCTCGGTGTTCCATATTCTCTGTTTTCATCACTTTGTATTTATTTAGTTTATTTCACCTCACAACAATAATATTCACTCATATTTTGATATCTTGGAATAGTTGTTCTTTTAGCTATCTTTAGGCTGTATGGAAGTGTTTTTCAGCTATAAAATTAGACAGATAAAAGAATCTCTAGACTTTCTTAGTACTCTTTTATTGCAATTATTACCAACGGCAGGGTATGAGTTCTGAACTTGCCACCGAACTCATAGCTCATTTTAGTTATTGGATTCACAATTTCCTGATACAAATACGGGATTTAAACAACTTCTTGGTTTGTCCAAACCTGTACTTATACTATAGCTTCGCCCCTGTTATACCTTCTTTTTTCCCCTGAGCCGAATCTCAATCTTACTTTACTCTTTCCATAGGCTGAGTCTACGAATGCATCAAACGAGTCTGTGCTGAAAGTTGCCCTCGATCACGGGAAGGCCTCAGGAGTTGTGAAGTCCCATGACCGAGTTGTCATCTGCCAGAAAGTTGGAGACGCATCGGTGGTTAAGATTATTGAACTTGAAGGTTAAGTTATCCTCATTTTTTTTGGATGTGATGGTAGAGTGTTAAAGTCATCACAAGTTGAGGTTCTAATCTAAGGCTTTGGTAGCTACAATATGTGATATCCTATAGTTAGTATAATGTGGACAATTCTTGTGGTCAGAACTTGCAATAGTTGAGAAAATTTTGGGAGGCAGGTATCTCGTGGAAGTAGTCGAGGTGCATGCAAGTTGGGGCCAACATCACGATTATCCAAAAAAAAGAAGAAGAGAAGTATGGTCTCTTATCTAGTTTAGGTATATGAGTCTTGTTTATTTTTCTTCTTGGTGTTATGGAGATGTCCATAACAAGTTATTTTGTTATGTTTATTACCACTCAGATATTAGTAATAAAAAATTTTGAAGTATGTTTTCACAAGTCTTTTGTTGTCAGGAGAAAATATAAAAGAAATCAAAATTACTGAATATTAAAAATGAAACTATTTCAAAGAAGAGGTGGATTCAGAATTTTCAATAAATATACAGGATTGGATTATTAAAGTTATTGAATTATGTCGAACTTATACTTTCCACGTGAGTTTTGCCCTTATCCCAAATAGAGTTATTAATGAATATCAAACAATGTGTGATTTTAGATATGTCGTGACATATGTGTGATAGTAAAATAATGTAGTACATCGAATACTACATAGTACATCGAATGAAAAAACAAATTGGTATCTTTGATCATATATTTTTTATATGTTATATAAAATACCAACTATATTTTATCAATAGGCGCCCATGGCCTAATGGATAAGGCGCTTGACTTCTAATCAAGCGATTGTGGGTTCGAGTCCCACTGGGCGTGCATCTTTTTTCCTCTATATTTTTTACAAAAAAATTATTAACAATACTAATTTTTGTTTGATATTCAAAAAATTCAATCTTTATAATATTTTAGTTATTTGTTCATTAATATGTTTGATGACTAATACAAACCCCTCCTCTTCAATTATTTCTTTATTTGGTGTCATTGGTGATAGCAAGAATCAACAATTTTGTCACCCCAAAAAAGAAAACAAATGAAGATAAATGCAAGAGTGAGAAATGTATGATTCATATATAGTATAAACCTATGTTGCTCGAATTTTTCAAAATTATTGCCATATTAGTGTTGAAATTCTCCAAAATGGACTACTTTAAAATTTAAAGAGTATCTCACACACTCGCCATCAACATTTTTAAAGAGTCCAACATTTATTACCGCACCCGTTTCAGATTTCTCCAAAATGGACTACTTGAGGAGTATTTGACACACACTCGTTGATGTTCATAAAGAGTCCGAGTAACATAGATATAAACTAAAAACAATATATATATATATATATATATATATATATATATATATCTAGCTAGCTACACATTCCTCTATGAAAAATCAGCTACAAGAATACTTCAGTTTCTTGACTAGCATAGGCACCTACTTTTATACCCCTAAACACTACTTATAAAATAATCCTCCAAGGTAAAAAAAAGAAAAAAGAATTCCACAAAAATGAACTATATTTATTCGTTATAACATTAAAGTCATATAATTATCACCACAACAACAAATAACTTTTACATTAACAAAGAATGCTAAAGCTTTTAACTACATTAATTAATTGTCATGGAATCCAATGTCACTATAGGTTAGAGACATTTACAAGGAGTGTTAATTGCCGCTAAAAATACATATTTAGTGACAATTAAGCTATTGTCATTAATTAATTAACGCTAAAAAATATTTTTGATATAGTGTATGTTTCTTCAAATAACACTACCATATATGTATCTTACCTATGTCAAAACATTGTTTAATGGCTAAGGAGATCATATCATTGCAATAAAAGTATGAGAATATTGAAATCATGCATATTGAGTATATTAGTCATGGGATTTGGTTTCTACATGTCTAGATTAAAACTTGCAGATGATGCTCCGATTTCGAATTTAGTCAGATTCTAATGGAGGTATCAGACATCGGACGGAAAAAAAGACAAGCTAGTTGCCTTTTGCTTTGTGCAGCACTCGACAAGCTAGTTGCCTTCTGCTTTGTGCAGCACTCTAGTTCATTCTGTTATGCACCATTTGTAGTGTCTATACAAAGTCCTTCTCTTCAATTATCTTTATTTAGCGTCATTGGTGATTATATCATTGATGTAGTTGTACAACAAACAATTCAAGAAACCAACAATTTATCACCCAAAAAAGAAAACAAATGAAGATAAATCCAAGAGTAAGAAAAATGTTATTCATATATAGTATGAACCTATGTTGCTCGAACTTTCCAAAATTATTGCCTCAAGATTCTCCAAAATGGACTACTTTAAAGAGTATCTAAAACACTCGTCATCAACATTTTTAAAGAGTCGGAAAAACTATCTCCAAAATGGACTACTTGAGGAGTATCATGACACACACTGTCATCAACATTTTTAAAGAGTCCGAACAACATAGATATAAACTAAAAATAGAACAGATAAGTTGAAGACTATGAAGAAGCAACAAAATATATACTTTGATTCAAGATTCAAATTTGGAAAAACACAAGGCAAAAACATATATACATACTATATATTTACATAATATATCTGATCTATTAGCTTAGTTCCTGATAGTATTGTACAATATTTTCATCATCCAGTAACAGAAGAAGGGTCACTATTCCTATTGTTATTGTTTGGATGGTGTTGATGATAATCAAGAAGTTCAAGCTCTTTTTGCTTCAACAAAAGTACCATTCTTTCATTCTCCAATTTTTTCCTCTCATTGATTAGTTTATCCCTTTCCATTTCCCTCTCCTTCTTGCTTATAAATTTCTTCCATTTCAATCTTTGCTTTTGGAGTTCAAATGCTTGGCACAAATAGCTAACATGTTGTTCTTCTAATTGTATCATTTTAGTTTTCATCCATTGCATCTTCTCAAGTGGACTCCTCCCTCTATCTTGAACTACATTAGCCAATTCAGTACTCAATTGTTGTACAATTGGTGATGAAGCTCCCAACTTTCTTTGCCTCTTTCTCGATCTTTCCATGTCATCGTCCTCCTCTCCGTGGCTCTGATGGTCGTGGTCGTGTCCTCTAGCACCAGACACCTCATCATCGTCGTCCTCCTCATCTTCATCCTCATCCTCCTCGTCCTCATTCTCCTCATCATTTTCCCCACTTGCCCCTTTTGGCATTTTAGGCCCTTCTACTAAACTAGCACCAATTCTTGCATTTGTATTTTCTGATGAATGCAAACACCTCTGTTGCTGCTCTGATTGGTTTTGATGAGTTTGTGGATTAGCAACTCCACTCCCACTAGCACCACCACCAGTACCACCATTATGACCACAACTATTATGATAAGCACACATTTCTCTAAAAAACAAGTGCTTAGAATTCAACAACTTCTTCACTTCTTCTTTCATCTTTGGTGATAAATGATCCATTGTATCAAGCAACTTTTGATTCTCCACAACTCTACAAGAAGTACCTTTACCAAGAATGTCATTAACCCTCTTGTACCTCTTATTCAAGTCATTGAATTTGTCTTCACATTGTTGTGGAGACACATAAAAACCCCTTTCCATCATTGCTCTAGAAACTGATTTCCATTTCCCCTTTTTTTGCAAAACCCCTACAACCCCACCTC